AAAGATGGAATGAGTCTAAGGTGCTCAGCAAAGTACTGTTTTACACCCCAGTTGGGCTGAGCGAGCGATAAGGGAAGGGAGGACTGGGCTGGCTATGGTTCTGCATGGTCTGTGTTATTTCCAGCCCTGATACACAAATCACAACCTCAGCTGTTGCAAATGAGCATAACCCAGGAACTGCACGGGGCTCTCACAGGCGCAGAAAGCAGCCCTCTGCATTCCAATCAGGAGTGGGAGTTATTCCTAAAAATAAGAAAACACTTTTGCTTTTTCACTATCACTAAAGGAGCTCTCACTCTGCAGGCACCCTGCCACCATCCTACTGCAGTTTTGCTTTCCTGCAGGCAGCAAGGTTAGTTATTAGGAAACATTTTTTCTCAAAAAGAGTGGTGATGCATTGGCACAGGCTGCCCAGGGAGGTGGTGCAGTCGCTGTCCCTGGAGGTGTTCAGGATCCATGGAGATGTGGCACTGAGGGACGTATCAGTGGGCATGGTGGTGGTGGGCTGGCAGTTGGACTAAGTGAGCATAGAGGTCATAGAGGTCTTTTCCAGCCTTAATGATTCTGTAATTCTCTGGCTCTATGATCTTCACTGTGCTAACTCTAAACATCCCATTAAGGCAATTGCCTAAATTACACAGAGTATGAATGGGGATGGAAGGCACAAGTTGGTCACCAGATGAACACCAGCTCTGGCCCTGGAGAGCACTGGGGAAGCAGTTTCCAGTGAGCCTCTTCTGTCACTGAGTGAGCTTCAGTGAATAGCTCTGAAGCCTTTTGCTTTTTTTCTTTTAATTCTCCTCCCTTTTTGACAGAAAATCTACGAGACCCAGGAGCCCGTCCTGCCACTTTAGTGCCAGCTCTCCTGGCTGAGAAGCCAGCAGCTTCTGCAGGCATTGTGGTTTAGCAGAAAATTGGCCAATTGTTTCTGTCCCACAAAACTATTCATCAACCCAAGGCATTTCAGGGAGTAGGAGGCAAAAGGTTTGCACACGCTTCTGTAATCAGTTGTCCCTATCAGCTCCTGAACAGTGAACTGGAGAAGACATTCAGGGGTTCCTGACAAGAAGAGAGGAAGGGTGAGGGCTGCAGGTTTCTCTGGTGGTAGAGAAGTCCTGCCAACTCCTAACCATGCTGAAATCCCTCTCCAGCTGCACACTGCTGTTACTGCTGCAGCATAAAAGCTGTGATTGATCCCCAGTTTTCCTTAATGATTCTGCCTTTACTAGCTTTGTGGAGAAGACCAACATGAGTCAACCTCAACATCTGGAATGATCACATAAGGGGCAACAGATTTAATACTCAGCCATACCCAAGCCCACCAGCCAGGTCTGCAGAATGGGGAGAAATAAATTGTGAGGAAAAGACTCATCCCCTGGGCAGGTAAAGCCTGTCCAAGACACAGCCAGGATGGGACAGCCCAGTGGAGATGCTCTGCTCCATTTGCCTGTGTTCCTGCCACAAATGGACTTCCTTGGTCCATCCACAGGGGCAGAAGGCCAGGCTTATTGTCATCTGCTTTGCAAAATGGGATTGGTGCTCCCAAGGTCTGCATGGCAACCATGCTGTCA